AAAAGAATTCAGATGCCAAAACAACAGACTGGAGTTTTTGTGTGTGCCAATTTTAGATGCAAATGTCCCTGACCAATTCAGATGCTCTGCCAAATATATCGGCCCTAGACTGGCTTCTCTGAAGGCACACACAGGATGCAGCCGTTTCTGATCGAGGAAATGGTTGACGATTTAAGGAGGTTTTTCCGTGTTGCCTTGCCCCTTTTTTGGTCAATGATCGGAGAGGAGAGCTCCGAGGAAAACCTGCCTTGTCACTTGCCATCACTGAAACTTCTGCACGGTACTGCGCTGTTGGAGGTGTTTGTATTTTTTTTCATGTGAAGTAAAACCAAGGTTCTTTATCACTTATGGTCAAGCGTCCCACGGCACTTGTTGGAAGACCAATGGGCATTAATTCAACTTCTTTCCAAACTTCAGATTGAGTAATTACTCTATAGTCTTCCTGTCTAACACCGCCAGGGGAATTTAATGGGATGTGGGAGTCCTCTTTTCATGTTGTAAACTGTTGTGTGCTGTGTACATCCCACTCCAGAGGTGGCTGCATTTCAGTGGTGGGTAGTTCCTGCATGCCAAATATATGGCTTGTACAGTACTTTGGGCTAAGAAGTGAACCATAAATACAAATGGGGAGCAAGCAAAACTCGTTGTAGTTAGAGGCTGGAGAATTGGTGGTAAAAAAAATCCAAAATGTTTTTTTTACTTTTACCCTTGAACAGGTACCTGGTATAAAAAGCAGAGTCATAAAATGGGGATCTGGTATCCCTATATGCCTTGCTGCTGCTTCTACCCTGACGTGCTCTTCTCCGCAGCAGTAAGAGACAAATCTCTGGCAGGTCAAACCTGGGTCTGGCAGGTGAATGGGGGCAGGTTATGTGATGGACCCTAGGACAAGTGCAGGTCATCTAATGATTTGATTGAAATGGATCTGTTTTTGCCATAATCTAGGTACGCTGGTGCCTTCTCCAGCATCTCATCCATTTCAGCCTTAGTCAACAAATCTGGGGTTTGTGGCCCCAGAGCCGCAGTCCCAATAGATCCAAACATGGCAATGGTTTGTAAGGAAAAGAAACCACAAAATGCACCTTTTGGGGTTCAGTAATAGCCCGTGTAGCATTTTGCTTTTAGATTCACAAGTCGGTCTGGGGAGGTGGCTGAAAGTCATTTCCATCTGACATCTGTGCAGCAGCTGACTTGAGACGCATGTGGTGGTCAGTTCTGGTTCCTAGTAGAGAGGTGTTCACGTCAAAAAGCCACTGCCACACTAGGCACTAGTGCCAAGGCCCACCTTTTCCAGAACAGGGTTGGGGGGGTATTCTGGGGTACCCATGATAAAAAGGGAGGTAATGTAATCAGCATGGGGAGTCAGGAGACATGGGTTCTGTTCCTGGCTCATTGACTTTGGACAAGTCGCTTACCCTCTCTCTGTGTCTGTTACCCCAGCAGTGAAATGAAAATGATGCGTACCCCCCATTGAGATCAGTGAATGTAAAAGTTCTCTCATTGCTAAGGAGGTACCATTTATCTGTTAATACAGAGCATTTCATCCTCCTACACTGTCAATCCAGTGCTTTGCACTAGCTCTAAATTGCCTTTTAATATTCTAAACCATGTCATTGGTTTCTATTGACATCCAGGATCTTCATCTCAAGAACATCCTTTTGTTTTGAAGGTCCACGTAATTCAGATACTCTGATGGCACTACATTGCCAACAGCACATTCCTTTTGGGAAGCGGTTGAATTTTAATAGAGACATGGTGGCATGGCAGAGATGAAACGGGCTGCTACTGAGTAGGCAAACACCCTACTTTAGGAATGCTTCATTTCCTCCTGACTGCCATCTTCCCACCGTTGGCTCTGTGCTGTGTTCTTGAGGCCTCTGCAGAGTTTAGGGAGGATCCTAGGCAGGAAGAGACTTGCTCAGGCTTGCCCTGTAATGCTGCAGAAACTGGTGGCGGCAGAGATGGCTCATGCTCCGAATGGACTGAGAGCTGCATTTCTCTCAAGAGATCAAGGGCTGCAGACAATGAGTGGGAAGGGGGAACGAGGATGACTGTTCCCTAAATATAAATTGAACAGACAAGGACTTGCCTTGTGTGACCTATAATGGGGGTGAGCTATTCATAGTGGGGGAAATTCCCATTTCTCCAGCTGGTGGTGAGTGAGGGATCCAGTAATGTTTGGGCTTTGGGCAGCAAGCTGTTGACCTTTTTTTTTTTAAAAGAGCAACGTTATTTTAATAATCCTCAGCAGCACTCCTGGCTGTACCCTGAGCAATAGGACATAAGCAGTGGCCTTGTGTGACATCTGGGGTCAAATGGCAAGCACCTTCAGCTCTTCCATGCTGTTATTCCCATGAAGCCTTGCTCCTTAAAACCAAGTAACAATGGGACCCTGAAGCTGTCCGTCCCTCTCGTCAATGAGCGAGATGATTTAGCCCTAAACTATTGTGTAACATTGTTATTAAACAGCTGATGTGTTGCAAGAGCTGGTGGCATTTTGGCAGCGGGGAAGGAGCCCTGTACTTTATTTATAAAGTGCTTTGGGATCTTCAGGAGGAAGGATGCTTTGCAAACATCTAGTACTTTTACTGGCTAACCAACCACCTGTGACTTATCTGCCTATACCATATGGTTCAGAGCCCTCATTAGCCAATCAGATTCCTCCTTTCATCCAGCTAAACTTTAAATAAATGCAGGACAGTGTGAGAAAGAATTAAACAAGCTCTTCCTTCAGGCAAACCTGGTCATTAAACAGCATGATATCAACCATTTTAGCTTTGACCCTGACATGACATGGGCATGTCACTTGAATTCAAAACCTCACCTTTCCGAATTCCCATAAACTGCTGACTCCAATGGCAATCATTTTGGAATCTGTCTTAAATAAACCAGTTACAATTTGTGAGTTGTCAAGTCATGTTTCTGCTTTTTTTTTTTTAATTAATTTGTCTGCAAGCCCTGAAAGGAGTTAAAATGACCTTTCTGTGTGAAAATAACTTCCCTGTTACAAGTAACAGCCCAGATTATCGAAATAGGAAGAGACGGGAGTAGGGGGGAGTATTTCTCTTCCACTTTGTACATTTCATATCCCTTTGTGTATTGTCCCTTTCAGTGTTTCCCCAGCAGAATCTGGGCCTACATTAAGAACAGTTTTGCTGGTACAGCTATCCCAGCAAAAACCTTTACTGTGGATGCAGTTAGGTTGGTATAAAAATGCTTGTACCAGTATAGCTAATGCTGGTTTGAGTTAAACAGCATGAACTGTACTGACATAAACACAGTTATACCAATATAACTCTGTCTACAATAAGGCTTTTACCAGCATAGCTGCGTTGATCTTAAAAAAAAAAAAAAACCAGACCACCCCCTAACTGCTATGTCAGTAGAATTTTTTAGTGTAGACCAGGTTTCAGTTAGTTTCCCTTGTTGTATGGCCCTTTTGAGGGAAGGGGTACTGTGCGACCCTTTTTTCAAATTGACTATATTTAAAGTTGACAGTGTACCTTGATACACATGGATATAATTTTGGAACCTCTGAAATGCAGCCCCTTCTGGGGTGAAACGTAGCATCTTTATAACAGCACCTAGCAACGCAATCTAGGACAGTGAGCGTAGACTGTCGTATTCAGCTGGAGAAAAATCTGCATGGGAGATTTAGGTCAGCTGTGGCTCTGTGGCTCACTCAGCCCTCGGCTTGGCAGTTGTGCATAGCCTGAAAGCCCTCAGCACACCTGTCCGTTGGGCACTGCACTGAGACCCATCAAACTCATTTCATACAAGTCACCGAAAACCCCATGGCTCCATGAGGCCTTACAGTTGCAACTGACATGGGATGCTTTGCAACCTGTAAGGGTGCAAGTCTCCCTGTCCCATTACTAACCCTCTGCGTGTTTTAATAACCTTGCCATTCAGAGTCCCTGAATAAGGGAACAGTGTATGTGATTTCTGCCAGCTGTTCGGAAGAACTTAGCAAGCGGTAGGCAAGGTGAAAAACCTTTGTGCTGTTGGCTGAAGTTTTCTAACCAGCGCTGCTGTGATACAGAAGCTGTTTGCTCATGGATAACTGAGGATGCTCACTGGGGGGGTTGGGAAAGATGTGCTAGGAAGTGTATATGTTTTTTAAGCTCCTTCACGTTCTCAGCTTCTGTAAATTTAAACTGTAGATCAACACAAAAGGCATTTTGTCCAGAATAAGTTGTGAAGTATACCACTTTCCATGCCAAGGCTGGAAAGTCTCATGACCCAGCACCATTCCCACACTATGCTGTCGATTGTCCCGGCTTCCAAGTTGTGTGGGATTAACCCTTGCTTGGGTGGTTGACTTGTGCCCCAGCTATGGCTGGGCATGACAAACGCCAGCTGTGTGAGTGCTGCAGGCTGGCTGGCCAAAAGATTATTTCCCAAAACTTCTAAATCCTTTACCCAACTCAAATTCTTTCTAAAAGGGGGGGAACCTCCCTCCAGCATCTAATCTGGGGAAATCTCTAAATTGCATTTTTAGGACCAGACCAAAACCCACTTGCTTAGCGGGATAGCAGTCTGTCTTGCACGTTTGGCACTTCCTATTTTCAAAGGCAGAATTCTGCCCATAGTCACCCACTTGTGAGCTGCCGTGGGTCAGTGGGGATGCATGATTGTAAATTAGGCCAATTCCATCTATTTAGGTACTATGTAGTATTTGAACACCTTACCATTGCTAATAAACATATCCTTGCACAGCAGCCTGTGAGGAAGGGAAGGAATTATTTATGCCCATTTTACAAATGGGGGGAGGGGGGAAATGAGGTACAGAGAAATGAAGTGACTTGCCCAAGATCACCCAGAGAGTCTGTGGCAGAGCCAGGAATTGAACCTACATCTACTGAGTCCCCATTCAGGGCTTTAACCACCTTTCCTCCTCCCTTATCTCTGCACTTCATCTCAAAATGCCATGAGCCCAGAATCTAGGTCAAATTTTGTGCTTAGTTTTAACCTGTGCAACCATATTTCATCCCTTGCAGCTGGGGTCCGTTCCTTCCAGGCCGGGAATGTTTCAACCTCTGTAAAGCGTCTGCATTTTGCATGCCGTGAGGCACCACAGCCCAGCTGATACGTGTTAGTGGCTACCCTCTAATGGATGTGCTTAAGGCCCTTCTCCAGCAGCTCCCATCAGTGTGAATGGAGGGACTCCCAATTGCTTCCTTGGATGGGTGCACTTGCACCATGCAACTTTGGGATTTTAAAGCTGGTTCGTGCCGTGCTGCTGCTCAAATCGATACGTTTCATTAGGATTGAGCCCTTGGAGAACGTCTGCTGTGAGAAGCGCTCTCAAACGCCAAAACCGTCCATCCAGGACCCGTTTGATTTCATCCCTGACTGACCCATGTGTGTGTTAGGCCGGACCTCAGGGCGAGGTTTGAGCTGGTCTTTAAGCTATTTGAGTGAGCAAAAAGGTAGCAGGAGTTTTTTAAATAGAGGAAAGTGCAGCAAAATCCCCTCCTCTTGGGCTGAGATAACTCATGGAAAGTTTCAACTTGAAAGCGCTGCTGGGAAAGTTAAGGAAAGTAGGCGTGTGTATGTCTATAAAGACTGTTTTACAACCGTAGCTATTGTGACCGGTTGCTGCCTACCGCTGCTGTAACATAGCGCTATCAATTGCTTCCTTGTGTAGTTAGTTCTGTGCCTGACTCTGCCACTGATTCATTATTTCACTTTGCACAGGTCACGTCCCTTCTCAGGGCCTCAGTTTCCGCTGTTTGGGTACCCCACGGCCAGCGGTATCAGCTGCTGCTGGAGCGACCTGGGGCCAGCGGCTCTGGCCGCTACTTGGGAGGCCCCAGGCAGCTGGCTCTGGGGACCACGTGAGCAGCAGCCGGTGCAGCTGGTCCCACAGACCGCACAAGAAGCGGTCCTGGGGGCAGCCCTGGGGAGTGCCTGAGCAGTGGTCCTAGAGCCAGCCACACCGGCTGCTGTTCTGGGGGGCCCCAGGCAGCTGGCTCTGGGGACTGCGTGAGCAGCTGCCAATGCGGCTGGTCCCAGGGACTGCCCAAGCAGTCATCCTGGGGGTGGCCCCGGGGAGCACCCGAGCAGCTGTCCCGGGTCCAGCCATATCAGCTGCTGCTCACATGTCCCTGGGCAGCTGGCTCCAGGGATCTCTGGAACAGTGGCCAGTGTGGCTGGTTCCGGGAAGCACCTGAGCAGCTGTCCTGGGGGTGCCCTGGGGATCGCCCAAGCAGCAGCAGTCCCGGGATGGCTGGAGCAGCAGCCCCAGGGGTGCCCGAAGGCCGTCCGGAGAGCAGTCCCTGGCAGGACCAGCAGCCAGAGGGCAGTCAACCCCCAGGGCTGGAACAGGGCCCCAGAAGTAGAGATTTAGGCAGGGGTATTTTTGTAAAAGTCAGGGACAGGTCATGGGCTGTGAATTTTCATTTATTGCCCATGTTCTGTCCATGACTTTTACCAAAAAGACCCATGACTAAATCTTAGCCTTAATTATGATTGATTGTATTATTATACTAGAGACCCCTGCTGAGGTGGGAGGTCTGTTGTAGCAGGCGCTGTACATACTTAGCGAGAGCCAACTCCTGCCCCAAAGAGCTTACAGTCTTAACACGCAACACGGACAGAGGGCGGGAGACAGGAATTATCCCTATCCCTGTTTTACAGATGGGAAACTGAGGCCAAGGGAGGTGAAGTGACTTGCCCAAGGTTGCCCAGGGACTCTGTGCTGGAGGTTGGAATTGAACGTGGATCACCTGATTCCCAGCCTAGTGCCTTAACTACAAGACCAAAACGCTGCCGTTACTCCTGGCTGGCAGATCACTTGAGAAAGTAGAAAGGGTCTGAATGGCCACAGCAGGAAGTTAAGCAGAGCCACTTTGTCTAGCTCGCCTGCTAGGGCTCATTAAGAATGTTAGAAATAGGTATTTCGCGTGGAGAATAACGTGTGTGAGGTTGGCGCGCCAGGTGAACAGTGGCCTTTGTACAGAGCCAAGCACGCTGTCAGCGCTTCCCAATCGTTTCAAGAGCAGCTTTGTCGCAAGGCTCTTTCCTTCCATGAATGGGAGTGCAGCTGATCAACTGCCAGAGCGGGGCTCGTTGGGGAAAGGGGACCGGGGGGGGGCAGGGGCCACAGGTACAGCCTGAGGTTTTATAGGGTCCAGTGGGAGCTAAGATGGCCCCTCCACTCAGTCTGCCAAGGCGGTGGAAAGGCTGCTGGGGTGTCCAGCTGGCATGTCAGGAGCACAGGCAGCTGGGTGAGTGGGGGGAGGGTGTGATGGAAAGTGCTCCACCGGGGCACCCTGCTTCCATTCAGTGCATGCAGGCAGAGAAGGAACAGAGGTGAAGCCCATGGGCACTACGAGTGGCAACGCAGCTAAAGGAATGGGGGTCGCTACTCAGCTGCACGGTGGCCCACTGGGATAGGATGGGTGGCTCAGTGGGTTGTGCACCGGGCTGGGGACGTGAGAGGCTTGGGTTCAATTCCTGGTACGGCCGAATGCTTCCTGCGTGACCTCGAGCAAGTCCGTTAATCCATGCTGGGCCTCACGTCCCCGCCTGTCAGCCGGGCTGATGCCTGCCTATCTCCCAGAACCGGGGGAGGGTAAATCCAGCCAGCACAGTGCCCACATGCATCCCCAGCTGGAGCAGAGAGAGAAACTCCACCAGAGGGACGATTCATAGGGGCAAGAGGGATTCAACCTCCACTACCCGTTGGGTCCGTGGCCTCTCTGCTCACCGTGCCAGCTGCTCTTGGGGCTATTCCGGGAGCTGGGCTAGGTTGCCGTGCTCATTTCAGCCGGGTTACAGTGGGCTGGCGTCCTCGGTTCTGCTGCATAAACTTCAGCAGCTTCCACAACTCTAGGGGGATGCCGTGTGGTGATGGCTGGTGGCACAGGGTGGGGAGCCACAGAGGCCCAGATAACAACAGGGTCTGTCTGTGTCCGGCAGTGTCAATGAAGCCCCTTCATATCCATCGAGCCCAAGTCCTGTCTCTCTTCTCCCACAGGGAACCCTACTAATTCCACAAGCGTTAAAATCCCCGCTGTCCTCAGGTCTCTGACCTGGGCCCGTCCTCCTATGGTGGGGCCTTGGGCAGCAGGTTGGGGGAGGTTTCGTTATTTCCCTGTCCCTACAGGCCAGTGCTCTTCAGTGCTGTGGCTGTCTGTGCCCTTCCCAAAGGGCGGGATGTGTTGGTGCATGTGCCCTGAGCCAGGCATTGCACCAGAGCTGCTGAAGCTGTCTCGCTCCTTCCCCAGCAAGTCCTTTGTGGATTGTGCCATGAGTTTCTCTCTTTCTTTTCTCCGATTGCTTCTCAGACCTAGGGCGACTTAGCAGGGGATCTCTCCGAAGGAGATGGCAGGGTGGGAGGAGCAAGAGACCAACCAAGTCTGTGACTGTAGAAATGTTCAGTGCAAAGAGGACCTGGGGGCCGGGGCGGGTGCATTGGATGTCTAGTATGAAGGCTGCATGCGTGTCTGGCACATAGATTGCCCCATGTAAAGGCCAACAGACAATAAATAAGACCCATGGTGGGAGATGCTTTTTACAGTCCGAACGCCTTTTAGCAATGAAGGGCTCTAGATCTGATCCTGCTTTTTTTTTTCTCGTCTCTTCCCAGCCCTTGGTGTTGAAAATGGCTGGTGGCGTGGACGGCCCCATCGGGATCCCGTTCCCCGATCACAGCAGCGACATCCTGAGCAGCCTGAACGAGCAGAGGAACAACGGGCTGTTGTGTGACGTGGTCATCTTGGTGGACAGTCAGGAGTTTCCCACCCACCGCTCTGTCCTGGCGGCCTGCAGCCAATACTTCAAAAAGCTCTTCACCTCAGGGTTAGTGGTGGACCAGCAAAACGTATATGAGATAGACTTTGTGAGCGTGGACGCCCTGTCGGCTCTGCTCGATTTCGCTTACACTGCGACCCTGACCGTCAGCACTTCAAACGTCAACGAGATCCTCAATGCCGCCAAACTGCTGGAGATCCAGGCGGTAACGGAGGTTTGCACGGATCTCCTAGAGAGGAAGATTCTGGCCAAAAATGACCAGATGGATTTAGTAGATCAAATTGATCAAAGGAACCATCTCAGAGCAAAAGAGTACCTGGAGTTCTTCCAGAGCAACCCCATCAACGGCCACCAAGGCAACTTTCCATGGACCAACCAAGACTTGAGAGACCTTCAGAGACTGAATTTCCAAGGGCAAGAGGATGACAAGGAGCCGGATTGCAACGGCATGGACTTCTACTCACAAGCCCCCCCAAATGAAAGACCAAAGGTGAACGACGGTGACCCCGACAGCAACCATGCCATGTGGCTGGACAGAGAGGAAGAGGAGGCCCCGGGAGCCTTATTCCCACCTTCCCAGAATGGACATTACAGTGGACACAGCCTGACGGCACAAGGAGAAGAGGAGGCAGCTTCAGGGGGTCACCTGGACCAGCAGGAAGCCAGTAACTCTCCCAGCTTCGTTCCTGGGGGAGCAGAGGCTGAGGAGGCTGAGGCTAGAGAGGTGGACGGGCTGGCCGCCAGTGCCCTGCTGCAGCAGATGATCAGTTCCGTGGGAAGGCAGCAGCTGGGTGAGGACGACCAGAAAGACGACGACGGGGTGATGGATTATTACTTGAAATACTTCAGCAGCTCTCATGATAGCGACGTGTATCCGTCCTGGTCCCAGAAGGTGGAGAAGAAGATCAGGGCGAAAGCATTCCAGAAGTGCCCCATCTGTGACAAGGTGATCCAAGGAGCTGGCAAGCTGCCCCGCCACATCCGCACCCACACGGGCGAGAAACCCTACGAGTGCAACATCTGCAAAGTCCGATTCACCAGGTGAGGGGCAGAGGGGGGCATCAAGGGCGGAGGAGTGGTATTGCACAAGCTGGCTGGCTGCTTATGGCTCGGGTGGGTGTGGGGTGGATCAGCCTTGCACAATCCCCCCAGCCTGCAGTGAGTCATTTCCTTTTTTGATGGGCAAGTGACGAGTGGTTTTTTTTTTGGGTGCCCGGTTTGAGAAACCCTGACTTAGAAAGTGCTGAGCTAGCCACCCTTCTGGAAATTGGGGTCCTTCAACAATGTCAAATGCTCCGAATCTCTATAGTCATTGATTTTATCTTGGCCATGCCTGGGATTTGCAAAGGGGACCAGTGTAGGCTGGGCATCTGGGGGAGCTTGGATTTCTGAGCAGTTTCCCACCCCCATATCCTTTCCATCCTTGGGTGAGTCGCTTTCTTTGGCCAGCAGGGGCTGTTTAATGTAGATGACCCTTTAGAAATGGCCCCGTCTAAAGACTGAAACATCCAGAGCCCATAGAATTGCGGAAAGATATCTGGAGGTAGAATTTGGCCTGTCCTCTGCAAACTTTCTCTTTCTGCAAACTGCCCTGAGCAGAGCTGCTGCTGCCTGATGATGCTGGTTCTGAGAGGAAGGGATCAGGACTGTCTCTCTTCCTCCCCCTTCCCCCCACCAATTTAAAAATCAACTTTTTGTGGCCCCCTAGGGGCATGGGTTGTTTCAGCCCCATTCCTAATGCGGGTCTGTCTGTGCTTCCCTCTGCTGCGGGTGTGCCGAAGAAAGGGGTTATTGTTCGAGTTCCTCTGATTCACTTTAGTCCACGTGCTACAAAGAGGCCTCCTCGTTTCAGCCTTCACGTCTGATTGCAGCGAGAGGCTGGGGGTTCCGCCCAGATCTCTCCGCCCGGTGCCAAGCGATTGCGTGGGCTGGCTGACAAAGAAGCTAAACAGCCTCGCCCGCTGAGCCTGTTTTCTGCTTACGTAAATAGTCCTGGACTCAGGAGCACCAGTGGGGTTCAATTCCCGCGTGGAGCCTGGGGGGGAGGATCAAGCCAAGTAAACGCTGAGCTCATGGGCCTGATTCTGATCTGCCCCCTGCTGGTGTAAATCAGAAGTGACTGGGTAAGGTGGAGCAGCAGCCTCATGGGTGAGAGCAGTAAGCGGCGAGGGGAGAGGACGCATCACACCCAGCTCTCCGCGTGCCTAAGGCTCAGTCCCCTTGATTTCCATTGAAGCGGGAGCCTGAGGAGTTGGTGCTGAGACCCTTGCAGGATCAGGCCGAGTCCCACTGAAAGCAAAGGGAGCTGCACCTGCTGGAGTGTGAACAGCAGGCTGGCCCATTCGCATGGAAAGCTGCGTGCAGATGTGGCGCGGTGATCTACCCGGCAATGCAGTGGGGAGAACTGCCTTGCGAGAGGGCCCTGCATTTGTTAGCTGTGGCATGCAGATAATGCAGTGGGCCTGCTGGGCTAGGGTGCCAGCTGTACCACTCCTGCAACCCGCTGGGCCAGCTCAAGCTCTGGTGTGGGCCAGGCATTGGCCCTGACCGGCGGGCAAGAGACGCCTCCCGCCCCTGCCAGTGAATCTGCCAGCACGGAGAGGGCAGAGTCCTTGAAAGCAACGCATCTGTGGTATGCATAGGTGCATGTGTGCATGCAGTATATGTACACACGAGTGTGAGCCAGCCCACCTTCTCAGAGGTGCTGTTGAGAAGCCGGAGTATGTGTCTGTCTCCTGGGCATGTCCTAGTTGAGGTGCAGACAGCCACTGTCCTGTTACTAGATCCTGCCTGCCTCCCAGCTACAAAGTGTGGGTGTGCGGGGGATAGAGACCGGTGGGAACGCAGTGCTTGCCTTGCTGGGGCGAGTTTGGAGAAAGATTTGATGATGAGGCAGTGCAACCTCATCGCTTTTTGATCTCTCCCTCCTGCCGTACGCCTGTGTGGTTGTATCTCTTTGTCACACACACACACTGCCCTGAGCCCAGCCTACACTTATAAACAAGGCTGTTGCATAATGTGCTAAGGCCGAGTTTCCAGACTGAAATCCAGGAAGCCCGTATGTGGCCACAGAAACCCCCAAAATCAGGACATCTATAGCCTGGGCTGTCTCCCACCATATCCTCTCTGCCCCCCTCTACCCTCCTCCCCACATTAGCAAGGATGCCCTTTAATTGCAGACCCAATGTCACAGCTGTCCCACAAAGACCTGCTGTTCCACCCCCTGTTTACGACTGCAGTTTGTTGACCTCAGAAATGCTAAGTCAGGCGAACGCCAGGGTTATGGAAAATCTTTTTTTGGGTTCCAGACAGAAATCCTGACTGGTGTCCTGCTCCCCTCCTGCTCTGCTCATCTGACTTGTGCCTGTCGGTCTTTGTCAGATGTTGCATTGCTCTGCGTGAGGCCTTTGGGGTCCCGAAGGCTGGGGGTTGGTCTAGCCAGCCCAGGAACCCTTGTGTCTCTTGCTTTTTACCGTAGATCTGATCCTTTCAAATGAAGGTGATGAGAGCAGTTGGGTTCTGCTGCCTTCCCTTTGACCTCCAGGGTTGCAGCCTGGGTTTCCCATGAACCCCTCTGGGTGCTGAGTCACCATGTGCTTTCCTGTGCATGTCTCCTACAGCTTCCCCTGCGCTCTGCCCCGCCACTCCCTTCGTTAAAGAGACATGGGCAGGTTAAAGCTCATCTGTTAAAAATAAAGGTCCTTATCTGTGCTAGCAATAATAATTAATAATAAATTGTCCGTACTATGACAGCTGCTAACAGATCAGGGATCCGGTTATACTGGGCCCTCTAAGGACTGTCTCTCACTCTGTGTATATAAAGAGCTCACAGTTTAAATAGACAAGGCAGACAGAGAGGTAAAATGACTGGGGTCAACAGCAGAACTGGGGATACAACCCTAATCCCCTGAGTGCTAGCCCAGTGCCCCACTCACTGCCTCTCTGAGAACGCCCTACACTAATAAAGCAGGCACTTGGAAATAATCTAGTTTGCTCATCACCACTTACGCTGTTTGTTTCCCTTTGAGCTTCTCTCAGCTTGGAGAATTGCACAGGGCTAGTCAGTCTGAGGTTAGTTTCTAGTCAGTTTCACTTTCTGGGTTTCCTGCACTAGCCCAGTGAGGAATGTTGGGGGGAAAATCATAAAAGAAAGGAAAATCATTTAAAAAATTCTGTTACTATTCAGTTTTTAAGAAAACCTTTTATTTTTCCAATGATGATTACATTTTCGGCTTAAACGCTTGGACAGTGTTCCTTTAACGGGAGCCAACGGAATAATCACTTAACCCATTGCTAACCTACAGGGTGGCCTTTTCAAAACCTGTGCCGATTTCTTCCCCTTTTGGGGCCTGTTCAAAGACCAGTTGTTGACTCATTGCAAGCACTCCAGTTCTTCCGAAAAATGGTCAGCAAAGCCCTGAGGTTGCGCTGGCTCATTCTAGTCTGCCGCAGAATTTTCACCGGGATATGTTCCTCAGTCATGGGATAGGGCCCCATTGTTTGTGTGCTATACGACACAGCCCAAAACACCTGTGCTTGCCCCAAAGCCCCGACAGTATAAGCAGGCCGCTCCAGGAAGTTCTATGTGTCTGAAGATCAGTGCTGGTGAGCGAGGCCTCCGTCACTCACAGACACTCTCACGCTTACTAGGGGAATGGGGATAGCTGGAGTTATAAGGACACAGGAAACATTTTGGAAGGGATCTAAATCCTCCTGTGTCAGAGCATGAGCCAGACCCTAACTAATGGGGGTTGGGAGGAAATTTCCCCGGGGCAGGGTATCCCATAGCTGTTGGGAGGGAAAGGGGAGTTGTGGAACCATTCTCGAAAGCAGCTGATGTTGACCGCAGTAGGTGAGAGGCTGTTGGGCTGGATGGACCCGTGCTCTGCTCAAGCAGGGACACGTGCCTCCGGATTCCTGCGCACCAGGTCCCAGTCGCAGGGCTGCCTCCACGGCCTTGCGGCAGAAACGGCCATCACATGGTTCACATGCGGTTAACTCTAGTGGGGAGTTTGGGGACGTGGACGCTCGGCCACCAGCTCACATCACGCAGGCCAGCAGGCAGCGGCCCCCCTCCGCTAGGGGAAGGCTCCATAGCCCGTTCTCACGGGGCTGAGCCAGCTCGTTCCCTGTGGGAAATCTCCCAGTCCTTAGCACACCCAGCCCCGAGGGATCATGGTGCTGAACGTACAGGGCTCCCCCAATCGCCGCGGGTCTGGGTGGGAGGGTCAGCACATGGCAGGGTGGGGGTGGACGGTCCTCCCTCCGGTCGCCACATGTCTGGGTGAGGGAGAGTCGCCATGTGGCTGCGTGGGAGTGAAGGCTCCCCCAAGCCCCCTCCAATCGCTGCGTGTCTGGGTGTGGGAGGGTTGCTGTGTGGTGGGGGTGAAGGCTCCTCCTCCTGCCCCTCCCCCGGTCACCACATGGTGGCATAAAGGTGAAGGCTCTGCCCACCGTATGGCAACCCTGTGTTCAAGCGCAGAATCCCAGCCCCGCTCCCTGACACCATCTCTCTCTCCCGTGCAGGCAGGACAAGCTGAAAGTTCACATGAGGAAGCACACAGGTGAAAAGCCTTACCTGTGCCAGCAATGCGGGGCTGCTTTTGCGCACAACTACGACTTGAAGAACCACATGCGCGTGCACACGGGCTTGCGGCCTTACCAGTGCGACAGCTGTTTCAAGACTTTCGTCCGATCCGACCACTTGCACAGGCACCTTAAAAAAGATGGGTGCAACGGCATCCCATCCAGAAGGGGGCGCAAGCCCCGGGTCAGAGATGTGAGCGGCCTGCCCGCCCCCACAGGGAACCCCGAAGACGGAAGCTTTGAAGCTGGTGGCGAGAGACAAGAATCACAGGAGGACACCGTGCAGAAAAATGGCCAGGAGCAGCACTTTGAAGATAGTTCTAACAATGAAGCATCAGGAAGATTGAATGTAGAGGAGGGGTCGTCAGAGGGTAACACACAAGGACTCTCCTAAACCAAAAAAAAAAAAAAAAAAAAAGTGTCACAAAATCTAGTTAGTACTTTCCTCCGATTTCTCTTTAAAATATTTCTCTCCCTTTTAAAAAGATATATATATATATATATATATATATATATATATATATGTTTCCAGTCCTCCCACCACAACCAGTCCCATGGGGACACCTCTAATAGCTAAGGACCTTTCGTTGGAAGGCAGATGCTTAGGAAGTGTGAGATCAGGAGGGTTGAAAGATTGGTCTATAACATGGAAAGAAGCTTCCATGCAAATCCAAAGCTTTATTTTGTGTCCAGACACACTTTAAAAAACGGCAGAGATGCATCTATTTTAAAAAAAAAACAAAAAAGGCGAGAAAAATTCCAAGAGGTGAATGGATTCTTCCTGGGCAGTCACTACATTTCGTGCCTCCGTCTGACTGGATGGGAAAGAATCGAGTGCAGCTTTCTCTTCATTGGCAAGTGAAAGCTCCTGAGATGGTCTTTTGTTGATCAGGGATTTGATTCTGCCGTAGGGAGTTCAGATCCTTTCTGGCCTGATGCTGAGCAAAGCTGGCTGAAATCACCTGGTGCATAATTTTTATAATGATAATTGGATGGGGGGAAACTGATGATATTTTACATATTCATTTTTTAAGAATGATTGCTCATGCCACGTGGGTGGGTGATCAGAATTTTGCAAGGCTGCTCCGAGCATCACGTTTGAAATGCCTAGATGCCAGGTGAAACTGTGACCCTCCCCAGGAGGTTTAGATTGGCGCTTTGTTCCCGACTGGGAGGCAGGGCTCCTGTGTTCAATCTTGGCTCTGCCACAGAATTGCTGGTGACTTCGGGCCAAGTCATTTTCCTTCTTCAGGGCGCAGCTTCCTCAGCTGTAAAACGAGGCGAACGCTGTTTTGTGTGAGGTTTGGGAAGTGCTTTGAGATCCGGGAAGTGCTTTGAGATCCAGGGAGTGCACGTTGCGATAGGTGCGAACTCCTTCCTCGGCAGATACACTGGTCCATTTAGGGGTTACTGCGTGAGGGTCTCTTGGACAAAAATGGCAGCCCTCTCTGCTCTGTGCAAAGATCTTTGGGGCACTTTTCCTGAGGATGTTTGCAGAGTCCTTGGCCAACATTTCCCCCTCACCCACCCATTGGGCAGCACATTTGTATGCCTCACTCTTATCCTCCACCCCAGAGGTGGCTGCATTTCCATGAGTGCTGCATGTATATAGTTTGTAATGTGTTGTAGCATTAAAGGCCCTGTTTTAGTAAGATAGCCTTGTGGCCACCAAACTTCTCTCTCCCTAGCACACTGAAAACCCTGAATCGGGCAGGAATCTGAGCAATCTAATAAAATTCCAGGCAACCTCTGATTCAGGAATGAGCTAGTTTTGTACTTTTATGACTTACCGCCTGCTCTGGTGCTTTGCAAATTGTGCCCCAACAGGAGCGGAGCGGAGGGTAGATTTTGCTAGATCAGATTGTTGCATCCTGAATCCTAACCTTGCCTTTCAAGATGCAGCAATTATTCAATCTTCCCCGATGAGTCAGCCTCTCTGATCCTCCCCTCGAGCTGAAGCTGGAGCTACCTCTGGGATGTGGCAGGATTCTTCTGTATCTTTGGGCCTGCCGGGAGTTAACGATCAGTAACTGACAAGATTGGGCGTTTAGTCTTTTGCCACCGTGACATGGAATGGACAGCGCCTGTGTGACTGAGCTCTTAGCACCTGTTATAGCAGCTTTCATCCTAGGATCTCAAAGCACTTGATTAGTTGGTTCTGTTAAGTAAAAGAATCTCTCGGAGCAGGGTAACCCCCAGTATATTAGGAATCAGATGAGAGCATCCTAAAAGCAGTTAAAACCCAGGGTTGTTTTTTTTAGAAAAGGGTTATTTAAGGTCTTCCTGAAAGGTGCGGGGAATCTTTCTGGAGATGGAAGCTGCTGGGGTAGAAATAAAAGCACTCTGGGGCTGCTTCTCCTTTAAGGCTTTGGAGTTGAGGTTTGGAATTTATCTCCTCTGGGGCCCTCAGGCTGGGTCATTAAATGCACAGGCTTCTGGGATGGGTAGTTCTCCGTCAGACTGGCACCAATGTATTTACTGTCCAGCAGAGGCAAAGCCTAATTTATTTATTTGAATAGCGGGCACTGAAAGACTGGCCCAGGGGATGTGCACAGAGCTAACGTGGTGGGGTGGAGGAGACGGGCGCTGGGGCTGACCGCGCCTCAAGCCCCGTCGTCCTTTCCTTGCTGCGGTTACTAGAAGAGTGCCCAAAGCTTCACCCAGTGCCCAGTTTCAGTCCCAAAAAGATGCGGGCGTGACCTACGTGTGAGATGATCAGAATCGCAGGCTAACCTGGTCCGAAACGGGCCACGGACTCCTTGAAACAAACGGGATCAGGGCCTAATGCTCAGTTACACCAAGGCCTTTACAACCCTCTGCTAGCACAGAAAGACCTTGAAAGTGGCTTGTAAATTACTCCCACTGTAATGGGGCCAAGGTGGCGTAGGTGTTAGGCCTGGTCCACACACGGGTTTTGTACCAGTATAACTGTTTCAGGTAGGGGTGTGACTTTTAACTGATGCAGCACAGTGCCTGCTGTGGATACAGTGATACCAGTAGAAAGATATGAGAAGGGAAATAAGCAATGCTGGTATAAGCACCTTTCTACCAGTAAACCTGCATCCACACTAGAGGGCTTGTACCCCTTTAACTATTCCGGGACAGGTAAAGGGGTCCAATGCCCTAATGTGGACAAGGCCTTAACACTGAGGATTGTTCCTAACCAGTCCCAGCCCTGATCTGAAACATATCACATGGGTCAGTCTCAATCAGTCCCTATTCCCCAGCTATATAGACTCAAGTATACGGATATAAAGTAAATATTGGTGTGTACTACCCAGCTCCTCCAGCTTAGCAGAGTCTAGAAAGGGCACCTTTCAGCCATTCTCCTGTTTTTTAAATGCACAGTTCAAAATGAAAAGAGATTCTAGTCCTTTTATTTTGAAAGCACTTTTTAGATTTTATTTTAATTTTAAAGTGAGAGCAGGTTTGGCCGAATGTAAACTGGAGAGGGAGTGAGAGGGGAGTGTGTGAACTGGGGGAGGAGGGCGGGGGGGGGGGTGTAGGGGAGAGAAAGATGGATGTTTATTTAATGCAGAAAAAGCAATAAAAATTTAAAAAACCATTATTAAAAAAACATAAAAAAAAAAAACAACCAAGAAGTCTTAGCACTTTGCGATGGAACGGGTACTTCGAAATCACTTTATCTTAATTTAAAAAGCAAAAGCGAAACATGTTTACAAGTTGAAACCAACTTCTATGGAAAAAAAATTATGAAAAAAAAATTCCTAAATTTATTTTTGTAAGAAAAAAAAAAGTGTATATATATATATTAAAAAACAAAACAAACCCCAACCTAGGCAGAATCCAATGTCTATTTCATGGAATAATAAAACAAAAAGATATCCAAGGAGAGGAAGGATGCTAATTAGGTTCTGTGACATGACCTGAAAATAAACCCCTCAGAAGTGATTGCACTTCACAAAACGGAAGCTTGAATATTAGGCAGGAATCATGGGTGTTTTTGTTTTTGTATTTTTTTCCTTCTATTTTCCTTTTTTTTTTATTTGTTTGTTTGTTTGTTTCTTAAATGTCTTATAGCCAGTGCTAGCCCAGATGTCTCTCCCAGCTTCCCCCAGGCCCCTCCCGCCCCAGGAGCATCTTAGCTTGTGTAGCAAGGAGGAAAGAAAGTGTCTCAACTGCTGGGTGATGTAGTTGATCAGGGGGAAAGGACCATGGGACGGGGCAGCCCCTGTGTTCTTCCTTGTTTCATTTCTTCTCCGAGGGATACTCAGCCAGGCTTGGGTAGATGATGAGATACGTCTCCTGGGTATAGAGCTCAAAGCCAAAAGCATACTCGATCTTTGAAGTTAATCTAGCATTTCCCAGCTCTGCCTCCTGCCACTCCACTGTTTGGACAGCAGTAGACGTGTTTCTAGCATGAAGCAGGGATTCAGGTTTGAAGTCAGTTTGTTGATGTCTAATTCAGGATAGAGACTTTTGTGGCTTGATGATGCACATAAACCCTCCTCCTCCCCACTTGCCATGAGCCCAGTGACTATTCCAGAATCAGATGCTCAGAGTGGAGGGGGGGGGACCCACCTTACAAATTAAATACAAAGAAAACAAATATCAAAAATAATGTCCCCCATTGCTTTTCTTTACCAACCGATAGGCTGGTAGCCAGATCTTTGCCTCACAGGAGCGCCCTGCTTCTAGAGTAACGTAAAAGCCCCCAAAAATTTCGCACAAGGAATTCCCCCCCCCCCCCAAGGGTGAAGAGAATAAAAAGGGTACAAAACCTGGCAGTCCTGACTCAGCGTTTCCCCCAGGGCCTAGGCCCGGCCTTAGTGTCTGAACGTGGGCTCGCTCCAGGGGACACGGAAACCTCTGGGCTGGTGCCTTTGCTTTCAGGCTCTAGTTCCTGTTTGCAGAGCACGAGGCTGGGCTCGGAGGCGCTGTAAGATCAGGGCCTAGGAGACAAATTGTTGGGAGAATGTGCCCTGCCCTCAAGGGGATGGAATTGATGACCTAGGAGGTTTCTTCACCTTTGACTCTTCTGATCCCATGACAGTTGAGATACATTTTAATAAGATGGCTCAGTAGTTAGTTGCATTTAGTGCCAGAAGCAGGTGTCCCATCTATTAAACTGCAGGGGTTGGAGGTTGTCGGTCAGCTGAAATGTACAGCCAAAGGAGGGACCATATGTCTCCATGCAGCAGCCAACTAAGGGTGACTCTGAAATGCCCCAAATCCAATCCCAGTTTCTCCGTAGTGTTGGTGACAGTGCAGATGCTGGGTCCTTCCTCCGTGCTGTAAAACACCTTAATCTTGGCCCCCGCCTTCCCATCCCAAAGAGAGCGGAGTGGAATGTCCCATGACCCGGGCACTAGCTGGATGTGGCAAGCCACCTCTTCCAGGGATGAACCTCTGCTTAGCACTGGCTACCTATTGCATATGCAAAAACTAGTGTGGACTTGTAAATAGACAGTTACTTGAGGTTCTTTATTGTAATCAAAAGTTGTGGTATCTCTTTTCTCGTTTGTGTTACCCCTTCTCTGCCCCCACCACCTTTTAAAGCTTGTGTTTCTCTCCAAACCTCCTTCTGCCATTTCAGGGGGGGGGAATCCCCCTCCCCCCTCCAAAATGGACAGGAAAAAAATAAGTCTCAGGATTCTTGTTGGAGAGAGCGAGTCAGACACCTAGATTCCTTGTGAGAAATGAGAGCAGCCATGGGGCCTTGACAGTCCCAGCCTGCCAAGCCCCCATCTTGGAGATCCCAGGGTGAGCCACTTTGGAGGTGCTCTCTGCCTCTGAGAATGAACAAACAGGGATGGGGCTGTTCTTAAGGGCAAAAGTCCTGTCCCCTCCTCTGTGAAATCTGCACAGCAGAGCTGGGGCCTGAATTAAAAGCCCAGATCCCAGTTCCAATCCCAGGGCCCCCACCCAAACCAGAACAATCCCACACTTTGGGATAGATCCCCTGAGGAGCTGGAGCAGAAAACTCCCTGGTCAGTCAGTTAACTGTGGGGATCCGGCGTTCTGGTCTGTGGTTTGGGTTGGGATCCATCTCTGCTACAGGCCAGGGGGTATCCTTCCACCCCCGGAGGAACAGAGGGCAGCTTCCACATGATGTAGGATGGCACTACACCTGCCCTCCACGCCCCCCGACCCACACCCTGCCAGTGTCCTCTCTCCAGAGCGAACCTCCTCTCCCTGTCCCCTGGGGGCCCCTGGGCAGAGGTGGGTTTGGAGGCAGATCAGCAATGGCTTCTGAACAGAGATACCGCACCTTATATGTGATATGAGATGCTTTTACCTTTATTAGAGATCCGGGGAGCCGCCGCGTGAGCTTTGATTGATACATGAGTGCCGGCAACACTTTAGCACAAGCCTTGATAAGTTTGCACTAAAAACCAACCAACCAATCTTCTCCCTTCTCCGTGTAGGGAGGCGTTGCCTCCACGTCCATTCTGCCTTAACTTTTTGACCTGTCTTACTCTATGTACCAACCGACGATGAACAGACTAGTGCATGCGAAACCTCCCCAATCATATACTGTATATAAGCATTGATTCTTAATGTTGTTAAGGTTATTATTATTCTTTTGAAATTCAGGTTGTGATAAAGTGTTGCCAAAGATACTGCTGAATTATGACGTTTCAGGAAAAAAAACCAACCCAACCCATAACTCCTACGAAACAAACAGACAACACCGCGGACTTTTTAGTATTGCCTCTCTTCGTTTCTTGGTACAAAACAAACCCTGTAATTTCAGTTGTGATATAACTGTGTGTGTGGGTATGCGTGTCTCAGAGAGTGGGTTCCCCTAGACTGGGGGGATGCCTGGGTTGTCCAGCCACCCTAGATGGGGCTTTATCTGTGGAGTGGGGGTTTCACGGGGGCCATTTGAGAGCTCTCCTGCTTTGGGGGCTAGTTGAGGATCCTAATTGCCCAGCCATGGGATCATAGCTTCTACACCAGTGCCAATCAGGAAGAACGCCCTTCGAAGTCAGCAGTGTAAGTGGGCTCCGAAACAGGCCTGGGGTTTTTGACACTAAAGACAAAATGTCGGTGTGGTCCCATCACCCTCTAGTGTTGTGGGAGGAAAGCACAGATTGTCCAATGCACCTGACCCGCTACCCACCCCCCCAGTCTAGAAGGAAACTTACAGAGACGCACATACTGTCCCATGTCTCCCAGCCATGGTGGGATACAGAGAAGCCACCTCTGCTTGCACCTCTGCTCTAGGAAACCATGGATTTGGGTTGCACCCAAGGCTGTCAGGCTCACGGAGGGAATGCTATTGTCGTCGTTTTAGGTTGTTATCTCCTCCCTTCTTTTCCCTTCTCCTCCCCCCACCCTCCCCACATGAAACCAGTGAATGTAAACCCGTGACCGTGGCGAAGGGTTAAGGAAGGCGGGGAGAGGTACGGGCAGAACTGCCCAGCTGTGTTGTAAAAGATCCTGTTTGCGTCCGGGCCTAACGGTGATGAGATCAAGAACCGTGAGTTCCAGCGATTTCTTCAGTCAATACCAAAGTATACTCCACCCTCACTGCAGAGCTCTCTCTGGGGGGCAGGAAGGGGATTTCTGACAGGACCCCTTTGATCCCTTCCCACAGACCGGGATTCGTTCTTCGATTGGCTGCTGCCCCAGCCCATGTGGGGAACTTTCTGGGGGTGATGAACCAGCAGGTGGTGGGTGGGCCGAGATCCTAGTGCTGCGGAAGCTGCCTGACGTGAGCGTGGGGTGTATTTTCCTCTCCGTTTGTCATACTCTAGCCCCCCCTTCCCCATTTTTGTGCCCCCCCCTTCTCTGAGCTCCTTTTAAAGATGCTGCATCTTCTTGCTGAAACCCTCCCCCAGCCTCCGCTGGACCCACGTGTGAGTCGACAGCTTTGCCTGCGGAGGCGGAAAACCGGCCACGCCCAGGTAGAGCTTGGGCTGGGCGGGGGCTGCCCCCAGTTCTGAATTTGGGGGGAGGCGGGGGCGGAGAGAGAAAGGAGTCACAGCACAGAGCAAAACCATGCAGTGGGAGCGGCACAGCTGTCCCCTTCCATCGCTGTCATGGGGGAGCATCACACGTCCCGTCTGCCCTGGTGTGGGTGCAGCCAAGGAAGCTGCCCGCTCTTCCAACCCAGACCTCGAGTCACCTGCCCCAGAGCGGGGGTCTGAGTAAGGGGCAGAGACTCTACTTTCCCCCAGGCCTTAAACAAGAAAGAGGGATGCAGCATCTTGGAGGTGCAGGAGGTTTCTTTGCACTAACGGGACCCATTAGACTCAGTGGGAAGTTGTTCTGTGGCACATGGGAGCTAGGCTAGCGGCTGTTCCTAGGCGAGCCCAGGCTGTTGGGGGATGGGGAGAGGGCTTTCCTAGCCATTTCCCTCATTTCTTGGGGGCCGATCTCTGCATGCAAAGGGCTCCTTTTCCTTGAGCATCTGCTGTTCAATGCTGCGAGGGAATTTTCTCCCTTCTATCCCCTCCCCTCCAGAGCTCTCACCAGCCACAGCTACCCTCAGAGCCTGTGGAGCCCAGCTCCAAGGGAAGAGGGGGATAGGTTGAAAACCCGGAGGGAGAGTTCGGCTGTGGGGTGTGGCGGGGGTGCATGGAGGTTTCTGCGCAGTGCAGGTATTAAGCCATTGGGACAGCTCCTCAAGGGATGGGTGGATTCTCCGTCCCGTGGTATTTTTAAATTGAGATTGGCTGTTTCCGATAAGATTACACCGTTGTCCAGCCACAGGGTGCCATCTGGAAGCAGGAATGGTCAGCCTGAGCAACCATAACAGTCCCTTGAAATTGACAAACCGTCGTAAGTCCCTACATCATCCCCGAACATTTGGGATGCTTGAAATGACCCCGTCTTGAGCCCATCCGTCAGGTTAGCAAACCAAAAGCTCTGTCTGTATTCTCAAAATGCCGGTGTGAGGAGCATTCGGGAGGCCTGATTCGACTATTTAAAAAAATCTCTATATATTTATATTTTTGATTTATTATGAAAGTTTTATTTAAATAAAGAGGAACACTTTTTAAAGAGCAGGTAGCAGATTTAGCTTCCTAGTTGGGAACCTGTGTGGGTAGCATTTATACTGCCTGGGACAAGTAACGAGATGCTGTATTGAAGTTATGTTTTCTAAAATATATATATATATATATGTATACACACACAGAGATTAATCTTTAATCTGAGGTGGGTAGATTTTAAACTCTCCCATCACCTCCCCAGAAATCAACTGATTTGATACCAGGAGGAAGAAAGAGAATATTAAGGCTAGGGCCACATTTCCTGCGTCTTTATATATAAACACAGAAAAACAAATTCTATATATAAAGCACTCGCAAGTTTCATCAGTTTTATGTGTAAACTACTTTGTGTGGTATCTGGGTAATGAGCGAGGCAAGAAAAGCACAGAAAAGACATTCCATAGATTGTAACTTTGGTAGTTCTTTATAAAGTGTGGGAGACGAGAAAAAAAAATAATAAAAAAATGCACTTTTTGGGGGCGTTAAAAAAAATAAAAGAGATATATTAAAAATATAAAAATGCAACCGGTTTTTCTTCTTGTATATAAGAACCACTAAACCCCACCACACAGCAATGTAACAATCTGCCCGTTACGAATGTGGGGGTAGTTTTTGTTTTTTTAAAAAACTTGTTTGAAATCAAAAGAGAAGAAAAGAGAAACTACAGCTGCATAAAAACTGCCTGTTTCTGGGCTAACACTTGAGGCGAGCTAGGATCCTGGTGGGACGAGAGGCAGCAGCTAACACGCGCACTCCTGGCATGTCACCAAATGCATGGCAATTCCAATCCCAATCCCTCACGATGCCCCAGTACTTTCCCCTGCATGCCTGAGGGGGGAGAGTTTGGGCCCCGTTGCAGCTGCTGTTCACCCCAGAGCAGAGAGGCTAACACCTCTAATGGCCCGGAGGCCTTGTATGGACTCCTTTGCACCAGGATGGATGCCACCCTGGGATCCAAGGACAGGCAATGACGGCAGGCTGTGGCATTGAGCTGAACTGGTGCACGGGCCTAGCAGATGCCACAAGATAGTGGATCGGATGCGGAGAACAACCCTCTTATGCCTCCCAGGTGTACAAACCTCACCCCCCACATCCTGGTCATTAGCTGGCATAAATCACCTGTGGCTCTCTGGACTGAATGGAGCGAAGCTGATTTACGCCAGCTGAGGGTCAGGGGAAATTGTTCTGACAGGTGTTTTCATTGGAGCTGATTTCCCTTTTTGTTGATTTTGCTTTTATTTGGATTTGGGCTGTGCAGGATCAAGCCAGGCAGAAGGAGGTTTGGAGCTTTGTTAACTAGGTTGCTGCTCTTGGATTCTTTCTACTCCTTTCCCCCCAGCGCTGAGCTTGGAACAGTGTTGGGGGAAATGGGGGGGAAGGATGGAGATTTGGGTTTTATATCCATGCTCTTGGCTTTGTTTGCTGAAGGAGGGCAGGGGAGTCTTTGGATGGGGCCATTGCTTGGTCATTTGCCTGCATCCCGCTCCTCAAGCACACTGCACTCTGGCTAATGGGTCTTTCTGAAAGCTGCCTGTCTCACCCAGGTCCTGTTTGCTGGGCGCCTTGCAGCTGGACTTGTGACTTGTTTCACAGCGACCAGCCACTTCGGACTCTCCTTTCTGTCTGGCGCTATTTATACGAGGGAGCTGATCCCATTCGCCCCGGATATGGGTCTGGCAAGTCAAATCCCAGTGCTGAGGAAGCCAAGCGTAGGTGGGGGTGGAGGCAGGTCTGCTTTTCAGACCCACCACCCCAGTGAGTGCCTGAGACCACTGAAAATTAGTCCCCAAGACTGTGGGGCACAATCCTCAGCTGATGTAAATCTGCATCACTCAGTTGAAGCCAGTGGGCTGATGCTGGTTTACGCCAGCTGAGGATCCAGCCCTGGGTCTACACTGTGAAAATGGCCTGTTGTTGGAAAGTGGGTGGCCGATATGGCTTTTCCCCACCATTGCACTCCTGTCAGTGTTCTCCCCTGGACCAGGATCTGAACAGTGCTGTGGATCTGTCCTGGTTCCCTCTGCGATAGGGGATGTTGATCTCATTTCTGGCCCGGTAAGACAGCCCATTCCCAACCCCAGCTGGACGGAGGCCAGGAAGGGCTGGTAAAGTTTTGGGGGCCAAACTCTACCCCGTGGTACCAGGTCAGTGGCTGTCCTCCCGACTGCCCGGGCTGGAAGCTGGAGTAGAATCAGAATCTGGCCCTTTGGTATTGGAGAGAGGCACGTTTCTCCCAAGCTACTTGGCGCTATCGACAAAGTAACTCAGAGCTCTTTGCCTGAACTATTAGGTCCCATCTGAGGTTCTGCTCGGAGTTTGCTGGGTTCTAATGCAAACCGTGTGCCTGGCCTGGCCAATTCCCCAAAACCAGCCCCCAGCCCAGGCAGGGAAAGGTCGAGGGCTTTGGAACCCGCTTTGTGCCCATCCTGGCTGGGCAGAGTCTAACAGTGGTCGATGGACCAGTTTTCGCCAGCATAAACAAGGCCTTAGTGAGCTCAGGGCCCCGACCGAGCCAATAGATTCACAGAAGTTAGGGATTATTCACCGCACACTCCTGGAGCAAACACCCATCTGTCCTGCCCTGTACTAACTGCTGGGAAACACCAAGTCACCGACCCAGGAGCTAACCGCCTGATTTTAATTGTTCTAGTTTGGTTTGGGACTGTCTAGTTCTAATTTTTTAGTTTCTAGTTTTAATTGTTCTAGTTTGGTTTGGGACCTGCCTGCAATTGGAAATGATGCAGGGATCTCTGCCAGTCTGGTTCTATCCCAGGCCCCAAGATGAACCCCAAAGTCCTTTTGCAGGAAAAACTTACACAGGAGTGAGGACTGGAGAGTGGAAGAGGCCAGCGGCAGCGAGCCTGGGAAGGGGACAGGGGTGACACTTAGATTGGAAATCAGGCATTTGACTTCCTGGCTAAAGGCCAGAGTGGACTTGCCTCACCACTCACTTCACTTGGGTTTTTTCTCCCCTAGTGAGCAGTAATAACCTGGAGGGACTGCTCAGGAAGGGAGTGTTTTCAATCACCTTCCTGGGGTGGATCCACTTGTTTTAAACTGGCTCAGTTCGGCAGCAGGCCTGAATTCCCCTCCCCACCCGCCCTAGAAGAAAGAAACCAACCAATGACTCCACCCCAGTCCCAGAATAATCGAAGAACCCGACTCATTTTGCCCAGGATCTAGCAGCAAACATGCATCTTCCTCGCAGACACCTTTTTAAAACCCAAGCGACAAGGTGAGAGCGGTCACATTTTGTTTGGGCCCGAGTTCCGACGGTGGAAGAAAGTCAAGCCGTTGGGCCCACCGCACAGCTGTGTGGCTCGGACGCTTGGCTCGCTCCCCACCAGCCGCTGGTCCAACAGAAGATGGGACCTCGCCCCTCTTGTGGCTCAAGTAGCCGGGGTCAACACAACAATTTAAAAATCAAGTCAGGTGCCTTCCCCGCCCTGCCCGTCTCCTGCTGAAAGTGACAATGACCCCGGGGATGCTGAAACAGGGATGCTCCCACCCCGCCTCCCCGTAAAGTAGCTCCCTCCTGTAAATGCCAGACTTCACTGCGGTAGCTGCTCCAAACTGCAGAGGAGGAGGAGAGCTGCACTGGCTCGCCGATGGCCTCGAACCCGTCGTTCCAGGCCCGTTACCCGCAGAGCCCGTCTGCCCGAAGCGCCGGCAGTCCACGGTGTCGCTCTTGGGCTGCCCTGAGACGCGGGGCTCAGGCCGATTCCGGTGTCGCTTCCACGTGTCTCCTTTATGAGTCGACT